ATACATACATACATACTCACACACACACACACACACACACACACACACACACACACACACATATATACATACATACATACATACACACACACACACACACACACACACACATACATATACACATACATACATACATACATACACACACACACACACACTCATACATACACACATACATACATACATACATACACACACACACACACACACACACACACACACATACATACACACATACATACACTACACATACACACTAACATACTGCGTTTGACATGATGAATTAGGGATTAATGTATCGAAAATTGTTCTCGATCAGAAGGGTCATCAAATAATGTACGTATTAATCTTTGTACGCCTGTGTGTGTTTGTATCTTAGTGTGTATATGTATGTTTGTTTGTATATTTGTTTGTATGTTTGTTTGTATGTGTGTGTGTATGTGTATTTATATATGTAAGCATGTGTAACCATTAATGTGTGAGTGTAATTTTAGATGAAAATAAACAGTTGTTTCAAGACGAAAATATAGACATGTCACGCACATACATACAAACAAACATACAAACAAACATACAAACAAACATACAAACAAACATACTAACAAACATACTAACAAACATACAAACAAACATGCATACATACACGCACACAGACAGAAAGAAGTTTGAATACATAATAAGTGCTTGTTTTTCATCAAAGAGGATAAAAAGGCAGATGGTGATGTTAATTGATCAGTCCATCTTACTGGATGAATGGAGAATAAATGAATGAACGAATGCATGAATGAATGAATGAACGAATGAATGAATGGAGGAATGAATAAATGAATGAATGTGTGAAAACTTCATTTCAACATCAACAACAACAACAACAACGACAGCTGCAACAACAACATCAACAACACAATAATAATATCAATAAAAACAACAACAACATCAACAACACAATAACAACAACAACAACAGCAGCAGCAACAGAAAGAGCACGACACAGGAAAATAAGGCTTATTAACTACCGCTACTAACCACCTTTAAACATGCACGCAATTGCATTGCATGCAAACAGACAGACAGACACAAATTCATAGATACATAAGTTCATACACACATATTACAAACAGAAGCAAGCAAACAAATAAACAAACAAACAAATAAACAAACAAACAAATAAACAAACAACTAAAACAAACAAACAACTAAAACAAACATGCATGCATCGTGAAATGTTACGACTGGCATAATGTTAATAAACTGCAAGCATCTCTTGACAGACAGCATTCTAAGTGCCAAAATACACACATACAGACAATTCCGTATACATACATACATACAAATACAATTTGTATATACACACGTGCATACTCTGTACACGCATACACATACACACATACATCACACCACATACATAACACAAACACCACACGCGCTTGTATGTATCATGTTAATTCAAACAAACGAACGATGCCTGTCAATTATAACACACTCAAACATATACAAAGATATATATATATATATATATATACACACATACGTACATACATAGACACGTACATACACACACACCCACGTACATACAAAACAACAAAGATATAGAAACACTCTTGCTTGCATAGAACTTTAAATTGATGGATGGGTGTGGAGTGGACGATAATATGATAGACTTAACAATGAAATCTTACCACACTATCATTAAGGTCTCCAATGCTTGCAACCAAAAACGCTAAATTTTCAATCTAATTTTTCTTTTTTATAAAACAGCGCTACATAATGAGAATCAATCGAAAGAGCGAACGAATCAATGGAATGAATAGACAAACAAAACGAGCAGAGAGTGTTTGTTAATATTTATTTATTCATTTATTTATTAACAATTTTATTATGAAAAAGCAAGCTGTTAATAAAACACACACACACACGCACGCACGCACAAGAATGAAATAAAAAATTGATTGGACCGGACAAATATAGATAGCATAACAATAATAACAAATAATAAAAGAAGTAATAAGGATAACATACACGCACACACACATGCAAACACACACACATGCAAACACACACACATTCCAATAATATCATAACACTATCAACCTAACAATAATTATAATAATGGCAGAAACATTCATTTTGATAGCATGTAATAAAAGATTTGTCCGTATGCGAAAAATAATTATGTTTTTATATTTTATTATTTAAATAATAATTATTTACTACTTTCTTATTATTTTATCATGATTTAATATGCAATATTTTGCAACTATTTTTATTACATGATCATCAATATAACGAGATGTAATTTAATAATGAAAAATGTATGCAAATTCGTGATCGGAAATCGAAAACTACACACACGCACATAACAGACAGAGATGCACCAAATAGTAAATCTGACCGAATAGTCGAGCAGTTGATTCGCTATTCGGCTGAAGCAAGCCAAAAAATCCATAATTTTTGAGAGAAAAATTTTTTTCTAGAACGAAAAACAAACTTATGGGAAAAAGTAACCTATTCACTTCTATCGAACAATTCTTGATTGAGATAACATTCAATCTCGTGTTCAAATTTAGACGTTTCAAAAACTACTGAGAGCAAAATAAAAATTTCGCTAACAATACTAAACAACTACTCCTCGGAATCCAAAAAGAGTGATGGCTCAATGGTAATACTCTGCTTTGAAAATCGACCGAAGCAGAAATCAAATTTCGGTAGATCATCCGGCCAGGCTGTACAATCGGTGACTCTCACACACGCACACAATGGCAGAGATTTTTCAATGAAAAATAAATGTATATACACACATAAAATTAGGAATACAGCAAAATATGAAAAAATTCACAATGATAAATAAATTTATAAGTAAAACTAAATTACGGACACTAAAATCACGTTATCAAATCATAGAATTAGTCTATATAAAAAAAAATTGAGTATTTATGCTTAACATTATCATCAATGATCGAAAATTTGACAGTTTCGAAAAGACCAATCATGATTAAATAAAAAATATCATAGCATGATAGATAATAATTAATAACAATAAACATCAACACACGCACACACACAAACGCACGCACACACGCACATCTATATATAAAGAAAAACTTAAAATCACTACTGAAAATACATCACTCTTGTAAAATCAACATCACCACCATTCTCATCATCATTATTACTTCTACCATTGGTCTGCAACATCATCACTGTTACCATCGTCATCGCTAGGAGATTATAAATAACTAGATTTGTCACCATTTTCAGACTTAGTATGAAATGCCTTCAACCGAGATGTCAATTTTGACAAACTAATCAATCAATCGCTCAATCCTCGTTTATAGTCTCCATCCATTTTGGGTCGGACTAAAACTATTAATAATAATAACAAAACGAATAATGATGATGATGATGAAGTCAGGACAATGACGTCATCATCTAATTAGTTTTCAGTTCTTTGGCTATGTCCTTCACAACTTCTTTGGCTGAAAGTTATTTGGGATGAAAAAAATTTTTCACTGAATTTTGCTTTTGCATTAAAAATATATATATCAATCAATTGATGTATATAAAAAATATTTAAAATATATATAATATAAATTATTTTATGAAAAATAGAATAATATTAAATAAATATAATTAGAATTAGGGAACCTTTATCAAGATGGGAATCGACAGTTTTCTCATATCTGAGAACATAGGGTCTGATAACTTTGTTGTAGATGGTTATCGAGCCGTTGAAAGAAGTAGGAATCATGCAATAGACCAAGAAAGCACACTGTGTGAATGCGTGTTTGTATGTTTGTATCTGTATCTGTGCATGTGTGTCCCTTCATTGATTCTTAGAGGCACCAAAATCAGGCACAAAATGCATGCAAACGCATCGTACTGATAGAAAGGGACACTCAAATCCACTGACTGCAACAGCAGCCAGTGACTGGACCAGCTGCTACACTGTCTAATTACAATAACATTTAGGGTACCTTGAAGAACCAGTAAAGAGGAATCCAGAAAAGAAAGATGTCAGTGAAATACTCCAGAAGATGGAAGATGCTGTAGACCACCCAGTAAGTCAGCCATTTTGTATCGTCATCTTTTTCCTTAGACTCCACAGCTTTGATTCTGTTAAGTTTGTTTTATTTTATAAATTTTATAAATTTTTATTTATAATCAATTATAATTGTGATCTATTATTATGAGGTAAGAATTTAATTTAAAAAAAATAAAGAAATATCTAACTAAATTGATGACAGATTTTATAAAATGATGAAATAGTATTTACAAATATTTAGGCTTTTAATTAAAAATTTCTCACTAATTCATCAATTCATCCCTCCATTCAACAAAAAATGTAGACATTCATTCATCTATCTATTCAATAATTCATTTATTTTCTCATTTTCTTAATAAATATTCATTCATTTATTCATCATCTTATCTAAAAAACTAATAATCCTGTCCTTCATTCCTCTCTATCTACTCACTCACTCCCCTACCAATCAATTTCTTCACTCATTCACCTACAAATTCATTCATGCATCCAGGCCCCCAAAAACTAACGAGGCATAAGCAGGGTATAGAAAGCCCAGAAAGTTGCAGAGGAAATCACCTCCAAAACCAACCATCAAATAGATGGCGATGAAAACTATTAAACCTGTGTGTGGGAATGTGTGTTGTCAGGGTTATCTCTCTATTAATTATGGATGATATCAATATCAATTGAATAACAATTGTGAAAAAGCTACACAGTAACCTCTCCACTAAATCTCCACTATGTCATCATCACCACCTAATCTTCCCTCATCCCATCCATTATAATTGTTTTTAAATCACTTCTCTCATAACTTATAATTATAAATATATAAATAAACATATAAAATAACAACATCATTAATGAATGAATAATTATAAATTAATATGAATTAAATTAATTATAAAAATAAATGGAAGTAGCTAACGAACCAAAAACGAAATTAATCTTCTTCACGCCAGTCTTGTCTTCCAACTGTTGGAGCAGCCTGGTGGCTACGTTGTCATGTTTCAGGGCATCGTCGATCACTTTCCTAACATCTTGCACGTACTTCTTGACCTGAGCCATCTTTAAAATCCTTCTTTAATAGTTTATTTGTCAAAATTATTGAAAAATAATGATTATTAATTCTCAAATAATAACAAAGACGAACAAGACAGTATAGCACAGGCTTGCTTGCAACAGGAATAATAAAAAGCAGCTTTGTAGTGCAATAGTAATGTCCCAAACTAATCGTAATTCTACAATTTTAAATTAATTTAAAATTATTTTACGATTTTTACTTGAAATAACTGTAAAAATTTTATTGAATAGATGTTAAAATAAATCATTTAACTAACGTCGCGATATAAATTGATGGTCGTCAAACTTATTGCGAGCCAATTCTTCGAAGTTCTTTGTTGCGCTAAAAACAAAAATCGGCGCGGCGGCTTTAGTTTTTCATCCGTCGTAAGTTCATTAATTATTTCATATTTCATATAAAAAAGAACTAGCGAAAGTAATATTTTTAAAAAATTCTGAATTTTAATTAGTAGAATTATGGATAATAAAATGAATTGTCAGTCTCCGGACCGTAGAATGTTACGAAGCAACGGCAGGAGATTCCCTGATAGACGTTATTTTGAAAACATCGAAAAGTTAGTATGCAATAATTTTCAATTATCAAACCGCGTAAAAATTTCAAATTAAAAATTTTCACAAACCCTCTTCTTAACTAAAACTGACATACTGGGTTACCAATTTAAAATAAATTTAAAATAATTTAAAATAAATTGCAATGTAGAAATGAAAAAATTAAAACGTTGAATAAAAACAAAAAACTAATTTTAAATTCAACTTTTAAAATAAAATAATCATCGACTTGATAATATAGTTAGTGTTAGAGAAACACACTTTTATTTACATTTACAGATATTGAAGCTTGATTCCAGCCAAATGTTTTTTTTAATAAAATAACATTTATATTTTGTTTGCAGTGATACCAGTGAAGAAGAAAAAGTGAGAAGCCCAATGAGACCAGAAATTAAATCAGAAGCTGAGAGGAGAAAGTTGAGATTTGAAAACAGGTTTCCAAAATTACACGACCGTTATAATAATAATTAGATTATCAGATAGGTATTGTGTACATTAAACCAAATTTTATTCAACCATTTAAACATAAAGGCAGAGAGAAAGATCAAACAGATTCAGCAGGGTGGAAAACTTAAGAGACGAGTTCAAACCAGCAGTACTGGCGGCACAAAGTCATGTTGAAAACAAGTTTGTAACTCTTGAATCATACAAATTTGTGATTAATATAACAACTTTTAAGACCATAAACTGCAAAACTGATTCACAAAAAATTTTTTAATTTCTTCTCAACAGAGGACAACAATCAGACTCTTTTTCTGAGTCCCTCAATACAACAACTGGAAGTTGCACAGACTGGGGTAGCATAATGGACAATGAGATGTTGGTTTCAATTCTAGCTTAAACACACTCTTAATAAAAGTATGTAGTAAATATCCGTAAACCGCAAATCATAAATGCTTTCAGGGAAAGTGAGGAAACAAACGATGATATGAACGAACTTGTTTCATCTTTGAGACCAAGGTATCATTATTTCAGATGCTGTATTATTTTTTCACCATTTATTGTTCAATGCTTGGCATTAATAATTGCAAACACTGCTATAATTTTTTTAACAATGCATATTAAAGTTAATGCAATTCTCCAAAAAACCATTAAAACTCAGAATCAGCCAAACCTTCCTGAAAGACCCTTCAAAACGTGAGAACGATCCTGAAATTTTACAGCGTAGACAAAAGCAGATCGACTATGGCAAAAATACACCTGAGTACAACTCATATCTCACTCAAGTACCCAGGTAACTTTTTCTACAGCATAAATTTTGTTGCGTGTTTGTAGCATTAATCACTAGACATGCGCTGCCCACCGCGCTCGTTACGCAAAACGACACCCCCAACCGGCTCTAAGTCCGCATAATTAAATTGTTAATAATTAGAATAATGTTTTACACGACACCACAGATCAGAAAGAACGAAATTCCACCCGTTCACTCCTGAAAAGAACGCCAAATACAGTAGAAGATCGTGGGACATGATGATCAGAATTTGGAGGAAGCAGTTACACATCTGGGACCCGAAACCGGAGCAAGCCAAATAGAAAATCGACCGACTAAAAATAAAAATTCTCTGTTACAACATTTAATGTTTTACTTGTGTATTTTCATTTCAACCCAGGTTGACAGCTACGTTGTTTAATCGAAACATTTTGAAGACTGTTCGTGCCTGGGTTTTTATTTGGATTGTTTTATTCAGTAATTGCATTAGACACAATATTTGTATAGTAGATGATGTTTTTTCAATAAACATGGACTGTGAACTTTTCCTTTGTGTGCGGCTTGTCAAAATTGCCTGAAAAATTTTAAAAAGTGACACCTTCATTCTAATAAATTAAGCTATGGAAAAGTATGAAAGAGTACGTGAATAAAGAATCTAATGCAACCTATGTTGATCGGTAACTTTCTGTTGCAGTAACCATCAAACACTGGCTTCTGCAGGACAGTTGTAGAAGTCACATCACTCCTTTGTACCTCTGATGTGTTAGCAGTTGGCTTGAGTTTAATCAAAAGTTATCAAACCAATCATTCATCTATATTAACCTAATTTCTTAATTTAAAAAACGTATAGACTATAAATTAAAGTGAAATAAATTAACTACTACCTCTCCTCGAAATTGAATACAAACTCCTATTGTATTTTTTAGATTGAATTCCATCCTATTTCTATTCATTGATAGAGCACTAATGTAGATAGCAATATACCAGCCACAAACATCTAAGAACAGTTAACTAAACACATAACTATTTTAAAAGTTATTATTTCTACCGTTAATGTAGCACGTATTTAGCCTCTATAATGTACCATTAGTAATGAACACAAAACTTCTTCAAACTTTATTATCATTATAAATAAAACATGGTACTAGATCGTCACCGGTACCACATTACTAAATTTATCATCATAAATAGTAAGAAAGCAGTAGTAGTAGGAGTGACAGAAGTGGTCTTTGATACGAAGGAAAACAGTAGATACCGTATTACGAACAATTAAACAACAGACTGTCATATCTTAGCATCTTCTAAAAAATAACTCGAAATTTTACTTCAATGATAAAAAAACACATTTGGTCAGGTATAATTAATAGTTAAAATAGTATTATTTACACATATTTAGTCAGTTCTATATATTAATAATATAGTTAGAAGATAGTAAACTGGAGGATGGGCGATTGAATGGATGAACTATCATTCTCTATCAACATTCAACAAAAAATAATCATTGGTTCTTTCCTATCATTGTAGTAGTAGTATTCTAGTAGCAGTAGTATTCTAGTATTGTAGTAGTAGTAGTACTCTAGTATTGCTGCTCCTACTTATGATATGACCTACTTTACACATGTATGCAACAACATAACATTGCATTAAATGCATCCTATCTATAATTCCTGTAGAGTAATTAAATTGATAAATTATAAACCATGTATTGAATATTTTTGTTAAATGTTCATAAATGCGTGTATACTCGATCACAGATATACCTAAACACACCCACACACACACAGGCAGACAATTTAATTCAGAATAAAATAAATGGAAAAAAGTTTGGAAAAAAAAGAACAGTATCAACCTGCTTTGACAGAGACAAATCACTTTCATCCATCCAACCAACCAACTGGCTGAACAAAGTTCAGCCGACTACCTCTGTCCACCATACCCCATGCCTCCTCCATATCCACCTCCGATAAATATTAGATATTTATTTTATTATTAATCAATTATACATATATGAATATCGCTAAATAAACACAATAATTTGGATACAGAATCTAAACACAATGCACCAATAAACAAAACGGTAGTTTGACAAAACTGCACTAAGCAGAGTTAAAAAGTTCAGAGTTTCTTCTAACACAAACCTCCGTATGGCCCGGCAGCCCTCTGAGTGTATCCTGAATTCTTCATGACGCCCCCTCCGTATCCACTTCCATATCCAGAGCCAAATCCACCTAAGAATAGATTAAATTTAACTTTCAGTTTCCAGTTTATTAGCCTCAGACAAACCAATTTTAAACTCTTGTTTAAATATTTTATATAAGATTTGTTTTTTATTTCATAAAGGAATGAACTTGTTTTGGATACAATTATATTGTTTGAGTCAGTGTTTTTTGTTTTTTTTTATTTAAATTTTTCAACCAGTATAATGTTAAATGTGTAAAAACTTTGAAGCAAAAGCCACAAGCAGTTTATATACACAGCTGTATACAAAAACACCAATGTATATATATAAGCATATATAGAAGCTTATATACACAAAAGTAACTGTCACAAGCCGACTTTTGAAAGCTTTCAAAAGAATGTTAGTGATGTTATTGCAATAACCCAATTCTTTGTCAACTTTTTTGCCACCACTACCCAAAAAATGAAAATTGTTATAAGTAAAACAAGAGTAATGAAAAAAAAACAAGGAAATCAGTTTTAAAATTGTTTTATTTTGAAAAAAGTTACAAAAACACAAAACAAAATAAATAAATGGAACAAAATCATGGCAGTTTTTTTTCATTCAAAAAAGTTAAGAAAATAGTAACTGTTTATGTTATACTAGTACCAAATTAGCATGGCGAACAGAATACGGTACAATAATAATAATGAAATAATAATAATAACTAATTAGGTTAAAACACATAAATAAAAAAAAACAGAACAGTTTGAACGAATACAAGCATGCAGAAACAGCCATATATAAATAGAGTATCATATCACATCACAACATAACTGTCACCATCGACGCCAACCTGATCCGTAACCATTTCCATAACCCCCACCACCACCGGCACCACCTTGGTTCCACGATCCCTGGTGGCCCCCTTGGTTCCATCCACCACCTCCGTATCCTCCATAACCTCCATACTGGTCTGAAAAGAGTTGAGGAAATCGTGGTTAAGTTTTTTGGGTTTTTTCTTTCGCATTTTAAAGAAAGTTCTTAGACTTAGTTTTTTCTAGAATATTCGCAAATCTTTTTCCACACAACTTACATTTTTACTATAGCTTACTTTGCAAGCATTACCAAATTGCAGATGAGATTCAGGATACTAATTAGAAAATGTAAATTTCCTTCTCATAAGAAAAATTCCGGATGGAATCCGATGGAAAAACAAATAGGCCGATTCAAAATTATAAAAAATATAAGGCATAAGCTAGCATAGAAACTGAATGAAAATATACACAAATCATGTGGGCATACATACTACACAACACACGCACACTATTATGTACAATAATTCAACACATAAGCAGATAACTAACCATTATAACCACCAGAACCATAACCTCCATATCCATCTCCATATCCGCCTGATCTGCCTCCATAACCACCACGACCTGAATTACAATTATTTTTTTTCCTATTCTTATAAAATGTTACAAAAGACATTTACTAATGTTAAAAAGTTATCTAACAAAATGTCTTTAGTAGTTCAGATAGCTAAGATGATAATGATAATAATTTAGGTAATATTGTAGAATAAAAGCAACTACAACCTCCCATCATGCTGCCCCTCCCACCTCTTCCTCTGGGTCCAGGCGCATACCCCGAACCTCTCACATCTCTTTCAACAGCCTTCTTAACTTCAACTGTCACATCCCTTATTGTGTGGTTTCTTATTACTGTTGAGAAAAAATAATTAAGATGAGCATCTCATTGTAATACGATTATTAGAACAATTATAAGCCAGGTTACACTCTTGAATAAAATATCTTTTATAAAAACAAAAAGTAAATCTGACACTAACAGACTATTTTATCAACAGAATCTGTATCATCATAGGTCATGAAGCAAAAGCCTCTCTTTTTCCCTGTGTCCTTATCTGTAACCATGTCAATTGATTCAATGTTCCCAAACTTTGAGAAATGTTCCCTGATGTCATTCTCATCTAAAGGTTCTTTAATGCCCCCAATGAAGACTTTTTTGATTGATTGATGAAGTTCTGGTTTGTTCGACTCCTTATTATATTTAATATTTAAATTGATTTAAATTGGTCAGTGTAATTTTTTTTAAATATCTTGATGAAAATAATTTAGACTAAGGTTAGGGTAATTACCTCTCTAGGCATGGCTCTTTTAGGATCAACTTGTTTATCATCAATAATGTGTGGCCTCTCAGACAAGCAATCATCAACCATGTGAGCTTCACTGTACGTTATGAAACCAAAGCCTCGAGACCTGAAGGACATATACATGAACGCTTAGACATGAATTTCTCTATTAATATTTGAAAGATCAAATAAATTCCGGACTCAAACACTCACCTCCTGGTGACTGGATCTTTCATGACTATGCAATCGACAACTTCGCCCCATTTTTCGTAGAAAGCTTTCAATGACTGATCTGTCGTCTGCAGATGCAACCCACCGATGAACAACTTTTTGAACTGGTCGGAATCCTTGAAATTTTATGAATGGAGAATTTTCAGCGTCATCTTGTAACAAAACATGCCAACAAAAACATGGCGCGAGACGGTCTTTAAGCACGAATTTCACGAGAGAAAACGAAAAAAATTTTGCAAAAGGTTACATCAAAAATAACATTCAAAATGGCAACAAAATATCAAAACTTACGGAATTTTTATCCATTTGAAAAGCAAAAACCGGCACGAGAAGATCGCAAAACAAAAAAAAGGAAATAGCACCAAGCTAGCCAAGCAAAGATTATAAATAGACAAGCGTATAAATAAAGCGTCATTAATCTTCGTCATAAGATGTTATACCACACACATACATAAAGATTTACATTGCAAATTTTATTATTTATATTAATGTTTCCTTATATTAGTGTTTTTTATATTAGGGTATATTATTTATTATTTTTTATATTAGCGTATATTAATTTATATTAGTGTTTCCTTATTACTTTCAAATGAAAAATTTTTTTTATTTATAAAAAACAAGCGAAAATTACTTAAATGTTATTTTATTCAATTTTTTACCTAATTTCCAGCATTTTATACCATAAACCATGATGATATCTCACTACACAACAGCTGCATTGATGTTTTAACTTCATTCTTGTTTTGTTCAATTCTAAACATATTTAGAATGAATATTGAATCTTGATTTAATCATAATTCACGCTTTATTTGTAATTTTTATTTATTTAGTGTCCCCTGCCTGCTAAACTGCTAAATGTATACGAAGATTAAAACTTCAATAACACTTTCCATGGGTTATTGGAATAAAAACCCTTATCCATTTGATAAATAGTCACCTACATACATACATAGATACATACATACATAGATACATACATACATAGATACATACATACATAGATACATACATACATACATACATACATACATACATACATACATACATACATACATACATACATACATGCATACATACATACATACATACATACATACATACATACATACATACATACATACATACATACATACATACATACATACATACATACATACATACATACATACATACATATACACACACACACACACACAAACAGAAAAAATTGAAGTCAAAAACTGCTAATTGAAAATTGCGTAAAACCTTTGAAGGAAAATACTCGTATAACAATAATTTTATTGTTTTTAATCATATTATTGTTATTATTATGAATAATAATATTAACAATAATAATATTAACAATAATAATATTATTAATAACTAATCACTGTGATGATAATGGAAAATAATGCAACAATGAGACCGACAACTTTTCAGAGTAAAAAATATATGAAAGCTAAGCACACATAATTTGATTAATTCACAAATATTAATAAATGATTTATGAAACAATTTATTTATAAATGTCTTTTATTATTAATTATAGTTTGTATTTATTTGCTCCTTTTGGTCTTCCCTTCATCACGTATCGTACGCGTGACTAAATCCACGCAACAACCGAGCGTCAAATTTTTAGCCGAAGCTTGCCTGGAAATCAGAGAATTCAAATCGTCATCTTCGTCATCATCGTCGTTTCTATCAATATCAATATCATCTACAACAATGTCATCTTCATCTTTATCAGCATCCTCATCTTTTTCATCATCGTAATCATCGCCGTCATCATTGTCGTCGTCATACGTATCAATTTCGGCGAGTTTGGCTAAAGCTAAAATATAGCTACAAGCTATTCTTAAAATAGCTAGCTTCGATAGACGTTGGTTTTGCGTGTAGGTTGGAACGGCTCTGCGAAGGTTGTCAAAAGCCGCGCTAATTGTATGAACGCGAGAACGTTCGCGTGCGTTTGCTTCAATTCGCCGCTGCTTCGTCATGCTTTTGTAGTTTTTAGGGCTGTTCTTGCCGAAGTTGCTGCTATGGTCGATAAGCCGCTGCTGTTGATTCATGCTGACATTAACAGCTGTCACATTGTCGTTAGCGACATTTTTATTAGCTGCGGCAATTTTTTTACTGTTGCTACTAGTGCTGCTGCTGCTGTTAACTAATCTTTTCTTACCAACGGAAGCAATATCTACATCTTTATCTGCGTTTTCTATCGTTGTAAAATCGTCGTTTTTACCATAGTCGTTTTGATTGTCGGAATTCGGTCGAATATCATCGCTATCGGGTTTCGGTCTAATCGAGGAGTAACTTCTTTTCAATGCTGGAGGCGTTTTTTTGGATTTCGATTTTAGTTCTGCACATGTTGAATCTGAAACCTTTTTTAGATTGTTGGCCGTAGAGTTGTTACAAAATTCATTTGTTGTTGTTGACGTTGTTGTGGATGAAAACGGAGAGACTAATGAAGATGACGATGACGACGATGGGTTTACGATATTTTGGTTGTTCGTTTGGTAATGTTGTCGTTCTAGTACCATTTGTTGTTGTTGTTGTTGTTGTTGATGTTGTTGTTGTTTCGTTAACTGTAGCAGCAGCATCTGTTCATCTGTTGTAAGATTTGCATTGTAAGCATTTTGCAAATTTAGACTTGAAAAATTAAAGTTATCACTAGAAATGCGATGATGATGTAAGAATTGCTGTAGTAGTAATTGTTGTTGCAATTGATGTTGTTGCAATTGATGTTGTTGTAGCTGTAGTTGCTGGTGTAAATTTGTTTGTTGTAGCGAAACATCAGAATCGGCGGCACATTCTCCTGCACCATTACCGACGATTCTCGCATCGGTATCCGATTCTTTGCCGTTCGAGATTCGAGCCGGTTCGCTTGTATCGGAATTTTCCGGAATATCGAGGAATATGTTTCGAATACTGAAGTCGGTTACTCGCTTCCGTGGTTCGGCCATTTTTCGTTTATTCTTTTTATTGGGCGAATTTTCTGGTGTTGTCTGTGATGGCAATGTTGCGGCAGATGTTGTTGTTGCTGCTGCTGAAGGTGATGATACATTTGTTGTTGTTGACGATGATGATGTTGTTGATAATGTTGTTGTTGATGATGATGATACATTTGTTGTTGTTGATGATGATGATACTTTTGTTGTTGTTGACGATGATGATGTTGTTGTTGTTGATGATGATGATGTTGTTGTTTCTGATGAAAGTGTTGTTGGTGACGAAGATGGCGAGGAATCTGATTCAGCTGAAGAAGATATGGCCATTTTCCTTGACGGTAATGATGATGGTGTTGCTAAATTCGCTGATGTTGGAGGTGATAATGATGATGATGATGTTGTTGTTGATGATGATGATAATGATGAAGACGATAATGACGTAGACGATGACGTAGACAATGGTGATGATGATGATGATGATGATGTTGCCGTTGTGGGGGTCATAATAGATTCTAAGATAACCATAGTTGCAGGTAAACGTTTATTATTATTATTATTTTTATTATTGTTGTTATTAATGTCGTAGTTATTACTACTATAATTATGGTACTTAAAATTATTATTATACAGATTTGAAGTATTTCTTAATAATTAATTTCAATATTTAACCTGCAAATTTATAAAAATGCAATGAATTATCATACATAAATACAGGCATACAAACAAACAGGCAAACCTACATACATACAAACAAAAAATTCAATACAACAATAAATATACAAATCCGTTAGATTAGAATACCTATAAAGAACAAATGTGCGTGTGTGTATGTATGTATGTATGAATGAATGTATGTATGTATGTATGTATGAATGAATGTATGTATGTATGTATGTATGTATGTATGTATGTATGTATGTATGTATGTATGTATGTATGTATGTATGTATGTATGTATGTATGTAAGTATGTATGAATGTTTGTATGTTTGTATGTATGTTTAAATACATGTATGTATGTTTATATATACTACGGCGCTAACCAAACCAACACCTGTTTTGCCTCTGAATGCAATGAACGCCTTCATGATATGATCAGAACAAAAAAGTTGAT